CATTCATGAGTGAGGAGAGACAAAGGCTTCATTTCATGAGTGAGGGAGAGACATATGCTTTCATTCATGAGTGAGGGAGAGACATATGCTTTCATTCATGAGTGAGGAGAGACAAAGATTTCTTGAGTGAGGGAGAGACATATGCTTTCATGAGTGAGTGAGGGAGAGACAAAGGCTTCATTTCATGAGTGAGGAGAGACAAAGGCTTCATAAGTGAGGAGAGACAAAGGCCTCATTTCATGAGTGAGGGAGAGGCATATGCTTTCATTCATGAGTGAGGGAGAGACATATGCTTTCATTCATGAGTGAGGGAGAGACAAAGGCTTCATTTCATGAGTGAGGAGAGACAAAGGCCTCATTTCATGAGTGAGGGAGAGACAAAGGCTTTCATTCATGAGTGAGGGAGAGACATTGCTTTCATGAGTGAGTGAGGGAGAGACATATGCTTTCATTCATGAGTGAGGAGAGACAAAGGCTTCATTTCTTGAGTGAGGGAGAGACATATGCTTTCATGAGTGAGTGAGGAGAGACAAAGGCTGATCAAGGCTTCATTTCATGAGTAAGGAGAGATAAAGGCTTCCTTTCATGAGTGAGGGAGAGACAAGGGCTTCCCTTCATGAGTGAGGGAGAAAAAAGGCTTCCTTTCATGAGTGAGGAGAGACAAAGGCTTCATTTCATGAGTGGGGAGAGACATATGCTTTCATGAGTGAGTGAGGGAGAGACAAAGGCTTCATTTCATGAGTGAGGAGAGACAAAGGCTTCATTTCATGAGTGAGGGAGAAACAAAGGCTTCATTTCATGAGTGAGGGAGAGACATATGCTTTCATTCATGAGTGAGGGAGAGACAAAGGCTTCATTTCATGAGTGAGGGAGAGACATATGCTTTCATTCATGAGTGAGGGAGAGACAAAGGCTTCATTTCAAGAGTGTGGGAGAGACATATGCTTTCATGAGTGAGTGAGGGAGAGACAAAGGCATCATTTCATGAGTGAGGAGAGACAAAGGCTTCATTTCATGAGTGAGGAGAGACAAAGGCTTCATTTCATGAGTGAGGGAGAGACATATGCTTTCATTCATGAGTGAGGGAGAGACAAAGGCTTCATTTCATGAGTGAGGAGAGACAAAGGCTTCATTTCATGAGTGAGGAGAGACAAAGGCTTCATTTCATGAGTGAGGAGAGACAAAGGCTTCATGAGTGAGTGAGGGAGAGACATATGCTTTCATTCATGAGTGAGGGAGAGACAAAGAGTGAGGGAGAGACAAAGGCTTCATTTCATGAGTGAGGGAGAGACAAAGGCTTCATTTCATGAGTGAGGGAGAGACATATGCTTTCTTTCATGAGTGAGGGAGAGACATATGCTTTCTTTTATGAGTGAGGGAGAGACAAAGGCTTCATTTCATGAGTGAGGAGAGACAAAGGCTTCATTTCATGAGTGAGGAGAGACAAAGGCTTCATTTCATGAGTGAGGGAGAGACATGACCTTCCTTTCATGAGTGAGGGAGAAAAAAAGGCTTCCTTTCATGAGTGAGGAGAGACAAAGACTTCATTTCATGAGTGAGGAGAGACATATGCTTCCTTTCATGGGTGAGGGAGAGACAAAGGCTTCATTTCATGAGTGAGGAGAGACAAAAGGCTTCATTTCATGAGTAGGAGAGATAAAGGCTTCCTTTCATGAGTGAGGGAGAGACAAGGGCTTCCTTCATGAGTGAGGGAGAAAAAAGGCTTCCTTTCATGAGTGAGGAGAGACAAAGACTTTCATTTCATGAGTGAGGAGAGACATATGCTTCCTTTCATGGTGAGGGAGAGACAAATTTCATGAGTGAGGAGAGACTTCATTTCATGAGTCTTCCTTTCATGAGTGAGGGAGAGACACTTCCTTCATGAGTGAGGGAGAGGCTTCCTTTCATGAGGAGAGACAAAGGCTTCCTTTCATGAGTGAGGGAGAGACATGATTTCATGAGTGAGGGACATGTCCTTCTTTCATGAGTGAGGGAGGGACATGACCTTCCTTTCGTGAGTGAGGGAGGGACATGACCTTCCTTTCATGAGTGAGGGAGGGGACATGACCTTCCTTTCATGAGTGAGGGAGGGACATGACTTCCTTTCATGAGTGAGGGAGGGACATGACCTTCCTTTCATGAGTGAGGGAGGGACATGACCTTCCTTTCCATGAGTGAGGAGGGACATGCCCTTCCTTTCATGAGTGAGGGAGGACATGACCTTCCTTTCGTGAGTGAGTGAGTGATGGAGAGGGACATGACCTAGTCATGTTCCTTCATGAGTGAGGGAGGGACATGACCTTCCTTTTATGAGTGAGGGAGGGACATGACCTCCCTTTCGTGAGTGGGGAGGACATGACTTCCTTTCATGAGTGAGGGAGGGACATGACCTTCCTTCCATGAGTGAGGGAGGGACATGCCCTTCCTTTCGTGAGTGAGGGAGGGACATGACCTTCCTTTCATGAGTGAGGGAGGGACATGACCTTCCTTTCGTGAGTGAGGGAGGGACATGACCTTCCTTTCATGAGTGAGGAGGACATGACCTTCCTTTCGTGAGTGAGGGAGGGACATGACCTTCCTTTCATGAGTGAGGGAGGGACATGACCGTCCTTTCATGAGTGAGGGAGGGACATGACCTTCCTTTCATGAGTGAAGGAGAGACAAAGGCTTCCTTTCATTTTGTTCAACATTATTCGAATTCCATTAATTTTCTTCTTTGTCAACGCACTTTCTTGATCTTTTACCTATTCGACATTTCCACTCATTTTTCTACCTTCCTTCTCTCTTCTGCACAATAATTTTTTACATCACTGTCTTCCTAATATTTCTTCCTCGTATGTGTTAATTTTTTATTCCTTTATTTTTTTCTGTTTTTTTCTTATTTTTTATATTTCATTATATAAAAAAGGGATCTCAGATGAGCCTCTCTGGTTATTTTCTTCAGCTCTTCACCTTTCTTCTTTCTCTCTTTGACATTCGATTCTTTGTCTGTGTCTTCGTAACTTTTAATTCTTCTTCCTCTGCTTATTATGCGTCTTCGTACGTCTTCCTTTTTTTCTTGACATCATATTTTTCTTTTTTTTCTGTCTTTTCTTTTCTTTTCTTTATTCTATATTTTTATTTTTTTTTTATTTATTTATTTATTTATTTATTGTTATTATTATTATTATTATTATTATTATTATTATTTATTATTTATTATTATTATTATATATTATTTTATCATTATTATCATTATTATTATATTGAATTTTCTTTTGAGTTATATGTTTTCATTGCTTTCTTTTGAGTTATATTTTTTCATCATTTTCTTCCGTCATATTTTTTTATCATTTTCATACGTCATAATATTTATTTTCCAACTTTTTCTTCTGAGTCATCATATTCTTTCATCATTTTCTTTTGACTCATCATATTTTTCGTCAGTTTTTTTTAATCATCATATGTCTTTATAATTTTCCTTCGTCATATTATATATATATTATATATTATATATATATATATATATATATATATATATATATATATATATATATATATTTTTTTTTTTTTTTTTTTTTTTTTTTTTTTTTTTTCACCATTCTATTTTTAATCGCTGTATTTTTTTATATTTTTCTTTTCAGGTCGGCGTCCTCCTGGTGAGACTTTTCTTAACTAATGACTGATGTTGAAAGTTTTTTTTTTCTGGTTTATCTTATATAGAGATGTTTCATAATGATAAAAAAAAAAGATTGAAATCGGACGATAAAGTTTAAAATATACTCTTCAACGTGCGAATTTATGGTTGTGAAAAATACTAAGGTTGCTTTTTTTCCGACGGGTAATAATTTCCTTTTACCTCTTCTATGACCATATATTTTCCTTTCATTCCGAGTCATTTTTTTCTCTCTTTTTTTTTGGGGGGGGGGGGGGATTATATTTCGCTTTATTTCGATTCATCATATTTTTTATCATTTCCTTCTGCCATTATATTTTTCCTCATTTTCTTTTAAATCATACATTTCAATATTTTTCTTCCGAGTCATCATATTCTTCTGTCATATTTTTTCCTCATTTCTTCTAAGTCATCATAATTTTTCATAATTTTCGTCTTATTTATTATATTTTTCATCATTTGAATCATCACATTTTCAACTTTTTCTTTTTAGTTATTATGTTTTTCATCATCTGAGTCATTACATTTTGCATCATTTACTTCTGAATCATATTTTTCGCTTTCTTTTACCATAATTGTTTCAACATTTTCCTCTGAGTCATCAGATATTTTTCATTACTTTCTTCAGAATCATCCCAGTTTTTATCATTCTCTTCCGTATCATATTTTTTTTCATCATTTTCTTCTACGATACCCTTTTCTTCATTTCATCTTCTTCGTCTCCCCTCTCTCTCTTTTCATTATCAACACCTCAGATTCTAATCCTTATCGCGCAACACCGTAAGAGCGATCGACACCTTTATCCTCATATGATGAATCTGGGACACATATCTTCAGTTTAAATTCTTTCTTAATTAAATGATAAAGTATTAACACAGAGAAATGCGTTGATTATTTGGTATTAGTAAATCAGTTTTTTAATATTATATCCACACTTATCCCAAACTTGCTTACAAACAGATTAAAACATATGTACAGATGCAGGTGTTTGCGCAAGTGCGTATGTGTGTTTTGTGTGTGTGTGTGTGTGTGTATGTGTGTGTGTGTGTGTGTATGTGTGTATAAGTGAATGAGTGAGTGAGTGAATGTGCATCTCAATATGTACTTATGTTTGCATGCAAATAATAAATACGTGTGTATGCGTACACGTGTAGTTAGATAGACAAACAGATATATAAACAAGCAGACAAACCAGACAAACCAGACAAACATACAGATATACATTTACATACAACCCTTTCATGTCCCGTACACACCCTTCTGTTTCCACGATCGAACCCTAATCCCCATGCACTGATAAAATCCTCACGTGACGTTGCTTCACCCAAATCGCATATAAAAGCGAGCTGGCGCGGGAGTCGTCAGAGCTGTGCCTTCACTCGCCACAGTCTTCGGAGCTCTGGAAGTGAAGCGATCCTGAGATGGCAGGCGTCAAGTGTCTCTTGGTGTTGGCGGCGCTCGCCCTCGCCTCTGTGTCGGCACGTGAGTAGCGGGAAGGCAGTTGGGTGCAAGTTCTGGATACTTATATAGGCCTTGGTTGGGTGGGTTTGGGATGAGGGAGTGTATGTGTGTTTAGTTTTGCTTTTTTAGACTGATAAAAGTTTGTTTTATTTTACTTTCTTTAAATTCTTAGCTTGACAGTTTGTACGTTTGACTTAGATGGAGTAATTTTATGTATAGATTATAGATATCACTTCTCTGCTTTACTATTCCCTAAGTTTATAGTTAACTAGCACGTTTTACTTCATGTGGAGTAACAAATTTTTGTCATAATTACCAGTCATATTTTATTTAGATCTTTCTCTTCCGCTTAAGAGAGACATTCACAATGAAGGCATTTTTTCTGATCTCGCTCACAGGTCCCTCAACAGAGTGTAGCTGCGATGGCTGTCTTTACCCAAGTTTAAGCGACTGTTCTGTCTACTGGAAGTGTAAGTATTTTTTTCTAATCATTCTAGTTGGATTGCACACAATTTAATTTCTCTTAAACACTGGTACCCATGCTGCAAAGGTCAACATCTATGTGTCCAAAGATACAAAAATACGGATTAACAAAGTTTCCGTCTCCTACCCTCCCTTGCCGCACTGCAGGCCAGGGCGGACGCGCCGTGGAGCACCGCTGCGGCGGCGGCCATCGCTTCAACCCCGACACCTCCCGCTGCGAGCACGCCATCAGGGTGGCGTGCTCGAACACCGTGCGCCTTGTGGGCGACTTCGCCTCCGAGACGTGTGTGGACCGGCGCGCGGGCTGCCCAGTCTTCGCCGCCGCTGGAGGCTGCGAATGCCGCGGCGACGACTGCGACTGGCCGGCCTACGTCGTCAGCTCGTGCCCGAAGTCGTGCGACATGTGCGGCGCGCAGAGCAAATTCAAGCCGTGGTGGACCGACTCGAGTGAGGAGGACTCCAGTGAGGAGGGCGGCAGGAAGCCCTGGTGGAAGGACTCCAGTGAGGAGGATTCCAGCGAGGAGAGTGGCGAGGGCGGGTCCAGCGAGAGCAGCGAAAGCAGCTCCAGCGAGAGCAACGAAAGCAGCTCCAGCGAAGAAAGTGGGGAGGACGAAGGAAACGGCTCTGGCGAAGGAAACGGCTCTGGCGAAGGAAAGGCTCCGGCGAAGGAAACGGCAATGGGGAAAACGGCTCCGGTGAAGAAACAGAAGCTCCTGAGACTAAGCCACCCACAGCAGCCCCAACGACGAAGCCTCCCCCCCACCAGCCGCCCCAACAGCTAAGCCTCCTCCCCCTCCACAGCAGCCCCAACGACGAAGCCTCCTCCCCCACCTACAGCCGCCCCAACAACTAGACCTCCTCCCCACCCACAGCAGCCCAGCCTCCTCCCCCTCCCACAGCAGCCCCAACGACGAAGCCTCCTCCCCCTCCCACAGCAGCCCAACGACCCTCCCCCCACAGCCGCCCCCACAGAGGAACCCTCCAAGCCCGGCAACTGCGGCGTCGACTGTTCCCAGGGGCAGTACCACCCACATCCCAGCGACTGTCACATGTTCATCCAGTGCACCCCGTACGGCCCCCAGGAGATGCCCTGCGCCCCGGGAACCGTGTGGGACCAGGACCTCTTGACCTGCAACCACGAGGCCACGACCCCCTGTGTCATCGCCGACCCCTGTGTCAAAAGTCATGGTAAGTATGAGGTTTTGAAGACTACGAATATGCAGTCTCTATCAGTCGATCGTATTATTTCTTATACATATTATATCTGTGCATCTAATTATCATCTATCATATATATTATGACTGATATATTCGTTCTCTTTCTCTCTTTCTCTCTATCTATCTATCTATCTATCTCTATCTATCTCTCTTCTCTCTCTCTCTCTCTCTCTCTCTCTCTCTCTCTCTCTCTCTCTCTCTCTCTATCTCTCTCTCTCTTTCTGTCTCTATCTATTTGCCTCAAATCATAACGATGATTAATTTATGTGGAGTAACGATGATATTTCCTCTCATATATTCTTCTCCGAGCAAGACCAACTTCCAGTCTCAATCTCCTTCCTCTTCTCTCTCTTCCTCCACAGACAAGCAGTGCCGCAGAGGAGACGGAAGATATGCCGTCGAAGGAAAGAAGACCGAATATTACCTCTGCCACTCCGGAGTATCCTTCCTCCTTCGCTGTCCCGATGAAGGAACCTTTAATCCTCATACTACATCCTGTGTCTATAAGGACCGCACTGCCATCGGGAAGGTAGTCGCTTAGAGAGAGAGAACGGTTGTAGGTCGCGTAAGAACATGTGTAGGTGTTAAATAAAGTGTAATTTAAAATCTCTCTTATTATCCCTGATTGTGATGTATCATTATCGTCACTGTTTATTGTGATTACCATTATCATTATTATTGTCATTATTAGCTTTATCATTATCACTACTATTATTTTCATCACCATCATTATCACTATCAACATATTCATCATCGCCATAATTACTTTACATGGATTACAAAGTTATGGATACTTACTGAAGGTTGCCTTTTATGATAGTATTATGGATAATGATTATGGCAATAAAGATGATAATTCAACTAATAAAAATAACAATATTCATAATGAAAATATCAATGTTTCTAATCGCAATGATATTGATAGTAATTATAACAAAAACAATACAACAACAGTAGCAAGAACAACAATAATAATGATAATTATAATTATAACAATAATAGCAATGATAATAATAGTAATAATAGTTCAGTGATAATATTAATATTAATAATGATGGCTGTGATACTAATGATAATAACAATAATTGTGATGATGACAATAATTATAATAATGATGATAAAAATGAAAAGAAAACAATGGCAACAAGAATTGTTTATAGGTTGTAATTAAAATGAAAAAAAAATATTATAGTAATGATAACAATGACAATGAAATAATATCAGCAATGATAATACTAATAAAACGATAATTCCGATGATAATGATTCTAATGATTATATTTATAATGATAATGATCATAATGATTATAATAACAGGAATAATAATAAAATAATAGAATTAATAATAATATTGATATAATAAAAATAATGATAGTAACAATAACATTAATAATATCCTAATAATGATAACAAATATAATCAATATAATATTAATATAAAATATAACCCCTTCAAAATGTTCAAAATGGTTCAAAAATTATCTCGGCGGCTACGTTGTTTTACGTAAAAGGATAGAGAATTCCATATATAATTATATATATATATATCATGTATATATATAATATATATAAATATATTATATATATATATATATATATATATACTCACATACATAGTACATACATACATACACACACACACTCACACACACACACACACACAACACACACACACACACATATATATACATATATATATAATATTATATTATATTATATATTATATAATATATATATATATATATATATTATATATACATACATATATATATATATATATATATATATATATATATATATATATATATATATATATATATATAATATATATATGTATGTATGTATATATATGTATATGTATATATATATATATATATATATATATATATATATATATATATGTATATATATATATATAATATATGTATATTTGTGTGTGTTGTGTGTGTGTGTGTGTGTGTGTGTGTGTGTATGTATGTGTGTGGTGTACACAGATACATTTATACAAATACATCCATCCATACACACACATGAGAAAGAGAGAGAGACGGTGGGGGAGGGAGAAGATTCTCGAAGCAAGAGGTCATCTGCAAGCCACTCAAAAGCAAAGCAGAAAAGCCGCCAAGAAAAAGGAAAGAAGGCCTAAGCAAGTAGGCCTTCCTCCAGCCGCCCAAAAGCCGCAAGATCAGAGGATGGGGTGGAGGCTGGGCGTTGGGATAGGAGGGGAAGGAGGGCGGGGGGGGGGGGGCGCAGGAGACATTCGCAAGCCACTCAGGAGAAGGAAAAGAAGGCCGGCGGAGAAGCCGAAGCTCCGCAAGCCACTCAAAAGCGAAGCGTGGAGAGAAGCGCGACGCAGCCAAATCCGAATCCGAACACGACGCCCATTCCGCCTCGCCGCCACAGATTAGTCAACGCCTTCCAGACCGAGGTTGACCTCGAGGCCAAATATTTCCCGCTGTTCACCATGAGCGCGGGCACGGAAGCGGATAGAGTTCCGGAGCGGCACGAAAGTCGCAGACTGAACCAAGAGCACGTCGATGTCAAGACCCCGCCCCGGAGGTGATCCAAACCGACGTTGACCTCGTGATCGAAGTCATCTCGGAGGCCAGAGGGCTTTCCGCGACCTCGTTGACCCATCCGGGGACACGATATCCAAGGACGACATGCGTCACGCGACGGCGCTGAGCGAAGCGAAAGTCTAGGTGACATGCGGCCGGGTTGTTAAAAGGGTGTGAGGCCCGACCCAACGAACATTCATTGTGCGGATATGCATTTACACAGAAATAAATACATATCTATCAGTCTAGACATGCACATCTACATATAGGAAGAAAGATGGATGTAAATTCATCTGGTAGATATGCATTTATTTCCGCGTATATGGATTTCTGGATATACGAATATTCACTGGGTCGGGCCTGCCACAAATTTGACAAACCGGCCAATAAACCCCAGAGGCGACGGGCTTCGAACTGTCTGCGAACTCTGTCGAAACTCGATAAGAACAACGAGAAACTCGAGATTTTCACCAAAATGAAGAGGATGACGCAGAAAAGGACTATAATGAAGAAGAATCTGATGAAAGCGAACCGTCTAAGAAACAACATGAATCTGTTGATGTTTCTATAAATGAACCGATATTTGTATAACATGCTTCTTTCATTTCACATTTGATAATAGTTTTTCACAAAGGCGAAGCCTTAAGGGCGCGAAGCGCCCGCGAGCGAAGCGAGCAAGCGGTGCAAATCAAGCAACCTGGCGTAGTCAGGTGCGGCGCAGCCGCTGCTCGTAAAAATAACAAAATAAGAATAATGATAACAATAATCCTACAACTAATAATAATAATGATGATGGTAATAATAGTGCTGGCAATAACAGTAAAAGTAATTATATAAAAGCCTTGGAAATGTCGCATGTAATTTGTGAAGAAATAAATAAAGTCTAAAAGATTTAGTTCATTTTACATTTATGAGTTTTCCCGATTACATTATTTCTCTCAGATATAGAAGGCACTTTTTCCACACCAATAAAAGTGAACGTTTCTAGAAAATGAAATTATAAAAAATGTAGCTTACATCTACAAAATGAAATTATGAAATGTGGCGTTATTACCAGTTCATTCAGAGAGTAATTATAAAAAAGTAACATCACATAATTTTGATGTAAACTATTTGTGTTAATTACTGTTTTATCTAAATCTCATTTATTTAAATCTATTTAAATCTATCTAGATTTATCTTTTTTAATATTACTGATTACGAGAACAAACAATATCGAGTTGAAAATGAAGGAAATGACAAGACAGGAATTTGAAAAGTTGTGTTGATAAGATAAAACGATATGGAATGTATTAAAAATGCACTATGATATGAAGTTCTGAAATGTGTAAAAGATTGTGTAAAATGTGTAAAACTGTGTAAGTATGCGTACGGGGCACATATTCTTCTCAATAAACTTGTAAGAATATTAAGAAAAGATGGAGGTATTTATTTTTCATTTCCATATGTGAAGAAATGTGAAAAATGATGTAGAGAAGTGTGAAAATATCTGTAAATATATATATTTTTTAAGCAAAATTCGACTTCAGATGTAATGGTACTCTTAATCTTATTAAATCTGATCTATCCCTTTTAATCCACCTCTTCTTACGTCATCGTCTTATCTACAGTTGCATAAATATCTGGGTATCTTCTTGAGTATATATTATTGTTTTTGCTATTGTTTGTTGCGTCTCTTCTCTCTCTCTCTCTCTCTCTCTCTCTCTCTCTCTCTCTCTCTCTCTCTCTCTCTCTCTCTCTCTCTCTCTCTCTCTCTCTCTCTCTCTCTCTCTCTCTCTCTTTCTCTCTCTCTTTCTCTTTCTGTCTGTCTGTCTGTCTTTTTTTTCTCCCCCTCCTTCTTTATCTTCTTCCATCCTTAACCCCCCCCTCCACAAACACCCCACCTCCACAACCCACCAACCTCCCCAAACCCATTTCTCCCCCAAGCTACCCTCCCCCTCCACCCCACCCACCACCAACCATCCCCCGAGTCAACCGACACTTCCGTGACGATTTTCTCATTACACAAATCAACGCTCACCTGCTTTACGTAATACAAGGTAACAACGTGTCAAAGATGGAGAACATTTACAAAAACAAATTAATTGATTGAGGTTCGTAACACGACCTAAATGGGGAATAATAAAGTAAAAAAAAAAATAAGTAAATAAATAGATTGATTAGAAGTTCGCAACACGAAATGAAGGAGGAATAATGAATAATAAAATAATGATATATTAATAACTTAAAAGTTTACAACACGAAACGTAAGAGGAATGATAAAGAAAAAATAGCTTGGAAGTAAGTAGTAGTAATTAAATGGGAAAAACGACATAAAATTTAATATCCCGAGCCAAATGGGGAATCAAAAAAAGAAGTTAATAACACGACTTAAAACGGGAATAACAACAATAAGTAAAACAAGAAGCTTAGAAATGAATAACAGGAATTGGAGAATGTAAAAATAATAATAATAAATTAATAAATAAATAAACAGAAAAAAAAATGAAAACACGACCTGAATGTAGAATTTGAAATAAAATAAACAAATGAACAAGTAAAGCCAATGACACAACCTGAATGGGGACCTAAAAAAAAATGGTCGTAGCTTAGTCGTACCAGGAAGTACGAGG